GCAAGTGATTTTGTTCTGTAATTACCTTAGCATAAAGGGTCACGCATCTGGTATAGCTCCTTGTGATAAATTGTTTAATGTTGCAAATTGTAGTTTTTAAAAATTGCCGTAAAGATGGTTCCAAGTCCGTTATCTTTCTGAGCTGTGTGTTATCTAGTCAAGATTAGGTTAAAATAGAACAAAATGGTGACAGTGATGTTGCTCAAGATTTTTTCTTCCTCCTTTATTTATTTAATACAAAGTTCCTACATGACTTCATAATGAGAAACCCAGATTCCCACCTTAGGTGGAATCTAATGTTCCAAGCCACAGGCTCTCAAACTTTGTAAATTTTGGTTTTGTCATTCATGCTTATCTTGTCTTCCAAGAGAAGTGGTGACCTGTGTTATTTGGCTCATTGAGAAAGGGAAAAAGCCTGTACTCAAGGCTATATTCTGCAAGAGTAAAAATCTCTTTTCTCACTTAAATCTATTTCATGACATGCATGACATTCACCCTTTGCACAGATTCACAAGAGCCACCCTACTCAGGGTAGATGTTGGGTTTTTGACAGAGTCCGTTTCCCTTGGTGCAGAGGTAAGTCATTATTTATGGATAATTGCCAATGAGTCTGCAGAAATTCTGAATGGGGATGTGCAGGGGCTGTGACATTTACCTTTGGTCTATAGACTAGGATTTGCAAAGCTAGAGTGAGGTTATTTCGCTTTCTTCTTGGGAAATTGCCATTTGATCAGTAAGTCTTGATTAAGATCTCTTGTGGGCAGCTGAGTGTTGGGCTTTAAAGATGAAAGCCACATTAAAAAAAAAACCTAGTCTTTCCTAGGCATACAGATAATTATTTCCATGGTAATATGATCGTCACAGAAGTAGAAGCACATTTAAAAAGATAAAATATCATTTTGAGTCAGAATGAAAGATGTGCAAACATAGTGGTAGAGTTCGAAACCTTTTCAGGCCATTCTTACATGTTTCCAGCACCACTTTGGTGTTCTTGTGGTAGACTAACCTTTTAATTCATCTGAATTCATCTTACAGTCTTTTCACTTCTAAAATAAAATCTTTTCAGGATGTTGGAAATTTGAACTTTCGTGGTAACTTCAAGTAAAAAAAACAATGTGTACTTTAACCCTTTACTTTAAACCTCCCTAGTTAAAGAACCAGAATTACTCAGTTTATCAGAGCATTTGCTTTTCTAAGTTTCCGGTGCAAAACCATTCCTTGGCCTAGCAGAAAAATGATAAAAAGTTAAGCAACAGGTAAAATCTTTTCTATTTGCTTTTCCCCCATTTGGAAGGAAACAGCTTTTCCTTCCCTCTGAGCAGTTTGGCCTGAGTCCCTTCTCTTTCTGATTTGTAGCTTTGCTATTTGCATACAATGCTTAAATTGACTCACTCAACAAGTTCTGAACTCTCCAGTATTTAGTACCTTTGACTCAGGCTAATTAAGCAAAATAGATTTTGATAACAAATAGCAGCTTAACAGAACAAAACTTTTTAAAACACACTTTTAGTAGTACTCAAGGTTTCCAAACAGATATAGTCTGTTTTCTAAGGAGAACCAGACTATGTAGTTTTCAAGTAAAACATATATGAGCAGAAAACCAGCTTTCTCAGACAGAATGTGGATCATTCAGAGGACTTCTGAAACTCCAAACTAGTCTTGTAAGTCTTCTAGAAAAATTTGGCCTCCAAACTTGATTCTCTTCCATTGTACTCAAAGTAAAGTATGTATACTCTGAGTTTTTCTTAAAGGCCAGACCTAGGGTTGGATATATGCTGTTTGAGGGAAAATAAATGTATTTATTTATGTGTTGCCAGTTTTTCATTCCAATAGATTGGAGTGCCTTTTGTGGACCTTGTTCTTAAGGACCTTATGGTGTGGTAAGAAAACAGACCTAACAACAAATAGAAAATGTTGTAAAATCTGTCCCAAAATGTCAGTGCTATGAATGAAGGTGTGAAGGGGCAGAGGGGGGTCTGGGTCAACCTGAATGCATCATGAGGGGAGTCCTATGGGAAACCTGAGCTGGGCTTGAAAGACCAAGACTAGAGAGTGAAGAGCCATTCCAAGCACAGGCAACAGTACATGTAAAACTACAGGCGCACGAGAGGCCACGGCTTCTTGGGAATGGCAGATGTTTCAGTATGCCTGAAGGATGTGGAATGAGAGCGGTAAAGTGACAGTAGTTGAGGCCTTATATGCCTTACTGAAGTTGGATTTTATGTTGTAGGTGAAGGGGAACGATTCAATAATTTTGAGTACTTACATGGGCTATGTGTGTATTAGAAAGATCGCTCCAGTGGCAGTGTGGACGAGAGATTGGAGGGAGCAATCTCAGAAGCAGGTAAACAATTTGTGAGAATGCTGCAGTAAAGATGGCAGGGGCCTAAACTGTAAACTTACTGAGGAGGGGTAGATATTCAGGAGTTAGAGCTTTCAAAGACTGGCATAACCCGATGAAAGTTTATTGCTTGCATGTCCCACACGGATTGTAGGCTGAAGGGTGCTCTGCTCCATACAGTTGCTCGGAGACCCACGTGATTGGGTTCTACAGTCGTGTGGTGTGCCACCTCTGCTGTCTTGGTCATCATGGCAAGGGAAGAGATGGCTGGGGTGTCATCCGCCAGTTCTCTGCTTGGGCTTGGAAGTGACACATGAACATCTGTCTACAGCCCTTTGGCCAGAAATAGACTCATTTCCCACCTAACTGAAAAGAGGCTGGGAAGCTGGGGGAGCTGATGGAGTGTTTGGTGAGGTTCTCTGTCTGTGCTGCAGTGTAGGGACTTGAATAAGGCATTTTATTTCTGAGCTTATTTCCTCATCTGTAAAATAGGGGTATCAAGAGTACCCTCGTAGGGGTAATCTGGGGGTGGTAATCTGGGCATGGACTGCTGTCACAGCTGTAAAATGCCTAGCGTTGTGTCTGGCACAATAAAGATATTGAAGGGAAACTTTAAGTTTGATCTTGAGATTTTCTTACTATGAGTCATATCTAATTAGTGGATTATAACCAACAATTAAAAACCAAATTTTAAAAAATATACCCTCACTAGAGTGAGGGTATATATTGCTTCATGAAACTTTTGAGTTGTGTGTGTGCACGTGTGTGTGTGTGTGTGTGTATGTATATGTTTGTGTGTGTGTGTGTGCATTTGGCCAGGATGTAACATGTGTTTCTCACTGAAGGTTGTAGTTAAAGTCTGAAAGACATGGGTCTAGTTCAAGCCCTCATTTTGTAGAGATGGAAAGACTTAGCATACTAAACAAAAAAGCTCTCTCTATTGTAGTATAGTTTTTTCTGAAAGAAGCAGTTTAAACTTTATATCTTTAAAAAGTTGACTTGAGAAGCATTATCCTTAATTTTGAGAAAGAGTAAAACACAAGTTTGAATTGAGAAAGCGTTAGGTGCCAGTTAGCCCTTTTCACGTTACCATACACATTCCCTGCCTTCTTGGAACTTAAATCCAAGATGCCCTCACTAAACTGCAATCTTTCTCTTCTGTGCTTGCCATTTTTAACTGTTTGCTTAGGAGCCATGAGTGTTTATGTTCCATAGGAGTAAATAACGTATAATGCATTCAGGCCTTGAATGCGTAGTGGAAATGATTGTCTATTATAATACAGTGTCATCATAGACAATTAAAAAAAATCAGTCAGAAGGACTTACTGGGGGAGAAGTTAATGAAATATTTTCTTCTCTGTTTTTTTGAAAAAAAATTTGTCTAGGAGGAACAAGTGTCAAGAGTTTTAAGATTGTTAAGTGACTTCTTTCGTAATGAGTAGTTGATGTCAGCAAACTAATGTGCAGTGAGCAGTGGTGGATGATGACTCTTCCATTTTGATAAGCCCACTGGTAACATGAGTCGTACCCTGGATGAATAGGAGTTAATCCTGGCTGCTTGGCAGAAGTGGATTTGTTATATAATTTATGGTACCCAGAAGCCCTTTGGGGAGGTCTTTATTACCTTATTAGCAAAGACAGTATCCATCTAGGCCTGAAGATTAATTTTTGTTGTTCTCATCTAGCTCCACTGATTCTCATAACTGAAAGGGTAGCAGCTTGTTGTTAAATGCTGGCACTTGGCTTTTGCTTTTGACACAAAGGTATGTTAATCAAGAATAGGTGTTAGAAATCCTGAAATGTTTCAGTTAGTGATTTATTAATAGTTTAGAGGGTTTTTTTCCCCCTCTTAAACTGCTGAAAAATGAATCATATTCAGGGTTTCAAACGTTTCCTCTTTGACTAGCCTCCAAAGAGGTTTATTAACATTTATCTTGTAAATTGCTGCTGTAGTTAATTTGTGTCAGTCCTGCCCCTGCTAAAACAAGTGGAGAAGGAGTGTCAGGTTAGTCTTCCATCTGTCTGACACATTCACTTCTTAGCACTGTTACCGGTGGGTATCCACTGTTAAACAAGCCTGCGCTGTTTTTTATGACTCACTGGGAAGTCATGTGGTGGTATGATCCCCGTCCCCAACTACCAGCACTTAAACTTGTAATTTTCAATATATTGTGTTAAAACAGACTTCTACTTCTGGCTATTTTTCTTTTCAGTTTTAGACCTAAAATTGGAAGCTCTATTTTTATGAAACAGTCTCCTAGAAAAGTCACTGGGGTTGCTACCCGCAAATACTGGGCCCGGGGGTGGGGAGGGCAAGAACTGGCTGTTTCACACGGCTCGACAGAACGTGTGGGCCTGCCAGCCAGTGGAGGTGGAATCTGCCCTTTGCTTTCTTGGCAAGCGTGTCTGACTTTGAAAGCCCTGATTAGGACTTCAGTTCTTGGTCTTTTCTTGCCGTTGCATGAAACATAGCCCATTGTCTCAGGGGGTTCTGAAGAAATGGAGGACCTTGATGGTCCACATCCGTTATTCTCTTTGTACAAGGTTGTGCTTCATCCCTCAGGGTTAAAAGCCAATCTGTCATCAGGCGAATTTTAGAAAATACTTCAGTGGAACAAGATATCTTAAGAAGTGTAAAACTGGCGGTGAGTTCTTCATGCTCACTGTGTAGTATGCAGAAAAGCTGCTGGCCTTTGCCCTTGCATCTCTAGACACCTTAAATGTGATTCATTTGTTTTTCGAAGTAGAGAAGAGGCAGTTCAGACCAGCACCGGAAGGTTTTTCCACTGGGGTTCACCTGCTTGGCAAATCTTTTCAGCTTCCTAGACTGCTGCATGGCTGTGGCTTAAATAAACTGTCTGGACGTCCACCCTTGCTAAAAGGAGAGCGATTTCCATTATTATGTGATTTTTTTCCAAGGGACTTAGGTGCAGGTGAAAAAGAGGCACAACAGGATGAACATCTCCCAATTTCAGCTTCAAATTTTGGCTTTTGCTGTGTTTGAGGTGAAAATTAGCTTGTGGAGTGAAGAGAGATGGGAACTGTATACTGCTGGCTGTGTTTGTATCACATTATCTGATAAGTGATGGGGGTAAGGAATAATTGGAACATTGAGACAATTTCCTGCTTTCTTTTTGAAGGTAGTAGAGTGTTGGGAGAAGAGGAGTCCAGGAGAAATTGGACCTTAGGAACCAGCTCTTGAGAGGTGAAATTAAGTTCTACTTTATATCCTTAGGGCTCAGATCCCTTTACTGTTGAGTATTTGATAACATCACATAATTAGAATTGATATCAATAGCTGCCATTTATTGAGAACTAACTATGTGCTAGGGACAGTGTTAAGTGTGTCAGACTCATTTATTCAGTCATGTATGTGTGTCTTTATTGGAAATACATACATTTAAAGTGCACAGATTCGAGCTGTGTACAGAAGTGCTCATTAAATATCAGTGATTATTGTTCATTCAGTAGACATTTGACAAACACTTGCTTACATGACACGGCTTCGGTGCACGGGACAAAATGGTGAATACGATTAAATCCCTGCTCTTGTGGCAGTTACCTTCTAGCAGGGGGAGCGGACAGTAAATAAGTTAACAAGAATTTCAGAGAGTAGTATGGTGTGAAGAAGTAAAATAGTGGGCTGGGTAAGAGGGAGATGGCACTTCAGTTGGTTGGACAGGGGACGCATCTCAGCGTTTGAACCGAGACCCATCTGACTTGAAGGAGCCGTTTGTTCTTCACAGTGACCCTTTGATTGTCCCAGTTTTCAGGTGAGAAAACAGGTGCAGAGTGATTCAGTATGTGCTGGGGAGTAGGTAGAGCTGGGCTGTACAGATCCAGGTATTCTGTGTCCAGAGTGTGTCCTGTCCTTCCCAGAAGGTGCAAGGCTGCACTGGAATGGCTGTAGGAGCCGCAGTCTCTGCAGTTGGTTTTGAGTGAAGGGAAGGAATGCGGTTGCAGTGCAGGTAAAACCCTCATGTGATTCAGAAAAGCTGCATGTAATTTCATGGACCCCTCCAGTCACGGGATGCAAAGTTTGAGTCTGAGTGTATGTGTATATGTGCAATTTATTCTGGGGTCGAAACTGTCTTCAAATTTTCAAAGGTATTCATGACCAAAGAACTTCTGACACTGCTGCTTTATTTTACGATTTTCTCATATTGGTTTTTTTGTTGTTTGTTTCTTTTTCAAATAGAGCCCAGCTGCTAGGGCAGAGTTTTAACAGACAGCATTGTGATGGCCATTAGGTGGTGGCAATTTTGTCAGGTCATTATGGGCGGGAAGTGGACAGGAACTGGGCTGGAATCATCAGATATCTTCCTTTGCCAAGCCTGAATACCACGATGCCAGCCACCAGGTATAGAGCTCTATTATTTAATTATCTGCGTATCTGTATACATGTTAATGTACCCTTTGGCCTCGTGCCATATGAATGCACATTTGTGAAATAAGTAACTGTTTAAAAAAAAGCAAAAGCCTGAACCTTGGGGTGGGAATGTATTTCCAATAAAGACACACAAACATTAGCATTTCCTGTCACCGTCTTCAAAACCTGAGTACTTTCTAAATAGGCTCTTCAGTGCTTGAAACCAAAGAGAAATTGTTTCGGTAGTAGTAATTGAAACCTAGAGGGTAGCCAAGTTCTGGTCAGGTCTGGTCTTTCAGTTTCATAGGATGTGGTTTAGATCAAATACCTATTTCAGTCAGAAGATTAATCATGTTATTGCATGGAGAAAGACTTCCAGGAGCTCTTGCTTGACAGCCTTTCACGTGGTGTCTGAGTGCTGGGAGGCGTTTCCTGCCTGGGAACCTGACGATGACAGGAAATGTATATACAGTAGAATAAAGCAGCTGTTAAGAGCTCTGCGCACAGCTGCTTGAAGGAGGCCTAAGGTTGTAAAAATTGCAACCGGCAAGGTTCTTTTTGCTTCATTAATCATACCATCTTTTAAATAGCAGCCTCATGGCCCACCCAGTTACAGTGGAATTTTACAGTTTGCTCGAGTTTGGGATCATTGGTCCTGGTGTTCAGCTAAGGTTCCCCCTGATATATTGGGTTGAAACTGTGGCCTAGTAAGTTGGTCTTGACCGTGGTGAGTCTCTGTGAGTAGAAGAGATCTGAGTGACACAGCTATGTCTTGAAAGGGACTATTTTTGTTGTGACAGAAAACTTGGCATCTGGCTTATATGCAAAGGGAGAATTTATTGGCTCATGTAACTGTGAAGTTCAGGCTTTTATCTGACTTGAGGTATAGTTGGAATCTCGGTGCAAATAATGCCTTTGGCACTGATTTTCTCTTTGTCTCCTGGCAGTGATTTTATTCTTGGTTCTCATAAGCATTAGAATTGAGACCACTCTGGTAAGAAGGGACTGTTCAGTCCTCACAGTGACCCTTTGGTGGGCATTATTACTTTCCCTGGTGTTCTTTCTGGTAAGATGACTGTGACAGCTCAACCTACTTTGCTTTCAGTGCTCAGATTCACTCTGTCTGGCTCAGGTCACCTGCGTATCCCTAACCCAGTCACTGAAGCCAGGGGCATGGGAGGCTGTGATGGGCTTGGAGCACATAGTCCATTATGAGCCCCACCCAACGACATGGCCAAGAGTGAGGGAGAGGGGATCTTGGAGTGAACGTTGGGTAGCCACCTGGATGCTCAGGGGCAGACAAATCTCTGCTGCAAGCAGTAATATCCTTTGGTCCAGTCTGAAGCTAGAAAGCCGCATAAGAAGTCATGGGCTAAAGCCAGCCTGTTAACCATTTCAGGGGTGCCACAGTTCCATTTTGAACGGGTCTCTGGCTCCCTTGGGACAGTGGTTCACTCAGGTTCTATTCCGTGGGTCAGACCCTTCTCCCCGTATGCTAAACCTATGGTAGAGGGACTGTTGTTTTTTAGACCTTAAGATGTGCATTTTCTTTTTTGTGGTGGGGGGGGGGCATGAAGTTTGATTTTCCTTTTGAAAGAAGAAATTGGGAAAATTTAGCTATAATTGAAAGATATCCTTATGGTTAATCTCTTTCTGCCCCTTACTCTGCACCCCACCCCCTATCATTTAATAACACTGTTTTGAAATCCTCGGAGCCAATATTGTTGGATTTGCAGTCTTTTGATGTCACTTATAGTAAAGCAAATGGTCTCTCTCTTTACTTGTTTTTCCATCCTCCATTGCTGGTTTGATATTTTTCCTTAAATGTAATGTCTTAAAGTGCTTTTGGTAAGATTGGTTTTTTTTTTCTTTTTTTTTAAAGAAATTGAATGTTATAAGATGATATTGGGAGAAGTACACATTCTCAAAACACTCCCTGACAGCTGTAAGTTGACACTACTGTTTGGTGAATTCAGATTGGATTATATATATAATATGTCTTTTTTTTGCATAGTCTTTGATCTGTTGATCCACTTCTAGGAGTTTATTCTCAGGAAATAATTATAAATGTGCTGAATTTTAGCTGCATGTTCTGTTTATTATCCGAGTATTTCTAATAAGAGTGAACTGCTGGAAGCAAGCTAAATGTCCAACATTGAGAGATTAAACTGACAAATTATCAGTGGAAGACCCGACTATCAGATATGTTTTAACAGAGAGTCTCAACCTTTTTGCAACCCCTCTGCAGTGCAGCACCAAATTTTTGACAGGTTGAATAGTAGGCTATAAATAGTCCATGGGTTATGTGAAATAGCTGGTGTGTTAGTGGTGACACCAGTACGGCCATTGAATTGCTGCTCTTTTAAAAGCATTTGATGAGAGAAGATTTATATAAAAAAGTGTTCAGTGAAAAAGTTGGCGAAATAGAATGTACAGTATGACCCAGTTTTGTTTAAAAGTTCAGTGTGCATAATATGTACATGCATGTGTTTGCGTGTGCCATCCATATGTGCTCATATGAAGGACTGAAAGGTTACACTCCAAAATATTAATTGCAGGTAGTGGGATGTTAGGAGACCTTTTTTCCCTCTTTATGCCTCTCCGTATTTTCTAAATTTTACAGAATAACTATGTAACGCTTTTGAATTCGGCGGCAGGAAAGAAAGCCTTAGTGGCCCCACTTCTCTGCTCAGCTTACTGATGTGGTTGAAAACATATTCTTTTACTGAACAAGTCTTTATTCTGTGCTTCTTCCTCTTCCTGTCTGCTGTGCACCAGCAGTCAGCTTCTGTCATGGGCCGCTAGGAAAAAAACTGGTAAATGTGGCCTTAATGAATTTGGACTCTTCTTTTTTTTTTTTTAAACGACTCACCCTAGGGGCAAGGCCCTGTGCGGTTTTATTTTTCTCTGTTTCCTTGGCAAGTTTCACAGTGCGTGGCACATGGTAGGGTTCGGGTAACTATTTGCTGAGTTACTGGCTTGCAGAGTAACAGCTATGGATGGGTGAGAATGGAAGGAAGAATGAACTGTTGGTGCGGATGTGTGGACTGGACTGGGTGTGGGTGCAGGAAGAGGTACAAGTGAGGGTGCTGGATTTTTTTTTTCTCTTTTTTTTTAGAATTGGCAAACATTTAAGAAATTGATTAGTTTCCATGTGATCAGTCTAAAGCCAGTTTAGAGGAAATGTGGCTCTAGAAGCCACATCTATACATTTGTGGTCATTCAAGTGTCCAAGACATTTATCATCTTTATATTGGGTTCCTTTCTCATCTCTACTCATTTCACAATTTCCTTTCTTGCCTTTCTTTTACTTAGATGTGAAACCCAAATCTCATCTCCTGCTATTTTTCAGTCACTGCTGCCTACTGAATTCCTCAAAAGGTGGCTGAAAAGTAAATAGTTCATGGGGTAACTTGGTGTTCGAGGACTGATTATCCATGTCAGGTAAACCTCCAGGGTGGCTGGTATCCATATGCTAACTGCCAGCAGGGAATCGGTGCCTAACCAGTGGTTCTGCGTCGGCTGTGGCCTAATGAGGCTGTATCCTGAGGACAAGCTCCAAGCGAAAATGGGAGGTAAAGAATGTAACAGGCAGACCATTTTTACCATAAAGCTCAAATCCAAGGCAGCCCTCTGGTTTTAAACAGGTAAAGGGAATGAAAAAGCTGGAGCAGAAGCAAAGAGAGTGGCCAGTCTAGAAATGTGGTGCCCCTTAGTGACACCTGCTCACTTTGCACGTCAGTGGTTAGTCAGACCTGTCCAGATCAATGGTGACAGCAAAAAATATTCCAAGTGTGGGTCAGTAAAATAATTGAGCTCTTTTTTGGTTATTTTGA